ACTTTATTAATATTTAACTTATAACTATAAAACTTTTATTTATATTACTTTAATAATAAAATAATATTATAAAAAAGCTCTTTTTCTAATAACTATTTTACTTAATTTAATATCTTATTTTAAAATAATAGAAATATAGAGTTTTAAGGTGGGTACTGTGTATCTGTCCAGAGACTTTTGGAGCATAATTTTACCTACACGTAACCTCAACGCTCCTCATCATTTGATCCTAACGCAACTTTACCCCATCACATGCTGCTCCCCGTCATTTTGTAACCACTTGTGTGATCTAGAGCACACCAACACCGCCAAAATGAACTTCGAGAAACTCGGGACAGATCTACGCGAGACGCTATCTTTGACGCGAAACAGGCAAGCCATTCGCCGTTCTTTACAGTCGCAGAGCCCTCCTTTGACACTACTTGACTCGAACATCCGAGATTATAAGACAGATGGCTTAGACTGCCTGATTGTGCTGGTTCGCCATATCTACAGTGAAGTCCTAGACGTCTACTACTCTGGCGAGGAAAACAAGACCGCAGAGGAAAAGAACCCAATCCTTGCCCTTGCTTGGTTGGATATTGACCCTGAAGACAAGAAAGCTTGGGCTGATTGCAAGCGGCATGTCTTGGAAGTCCTTAACCCAGCTGAAGGAGGAACCATTCAAACCTGCTTTGCTAGTCTCGTCAACTCTCCTCTCATGAACGAGACTTTTTGGAGCCAGGATATCCACATTCTTTTTAGAGCCTGCTTGGAGAAGTCGCTGGAGGCCAACTCTAGATGGCGCCATGCAGACCTAGGGCCCAATCCCCGTGCTGCCATGGTCGAATTAAGCACTATCGTGGCTGATCGCAACGCTAAGCCGGACTGGACCTTCAGACAATTCGTTCGATCACCTTTCAAGATATTGAAGAAGCACGACAAACAACAGCTGAATATGTGCGCTGCGCCCGCTATCATCCGCGTGCATCTCAAGACCAACAAGGATGTCGAACCTTTCCCATTCTCGACACTGAAGAACTTCCAGATCGATATTGCTGGAGTCAACGGATCCGAGCCTATCGTAAAAGACATGCTATGTGGCTACACATTGATTGCATCTGTCTCACTGAAAGAGCAACGTATCAGAACATATAGGCCTCTTGGCGAAGAGATCGTGAGAGGGACGGGGTACCTAGGCAGAAGATGGAGTCTTGAGAACAGGGAAGATGGCGAGTTTATGTTGTTCTACCGTCGCTCTGATGACGCAGTGGCGGATTCTTACACCCCTGAAACGGTCACGATCCCAAAAGAAATGCCGACTTTGGCCATCGTCAACAATGCTCTTCAAGAAGATATCGACAGGAGGAGGGCACAGCGAGCAGCCGAACGAGAAGAAGATGAGAGAGCGCAGATGGAGCACTGAAAGCATCTATGGAGAGAGCTATGGCTTAACCCTCGTCACCACAAGGCCAAGGTGCTGTGTTTAAGGCGCTCCAATAATTACCTTAGGGAAGACACTGGGATGTTGAGTTATTAAAATGGGGGCAATGTGCCATATGAATAGTTGGTCTTGATTTCATGATTGCGCTCCATAGTCAATTGAGGTTTTTCTACCCATTTCACCTGTGATCGTACGACGTGTGAGTTGCAGGCTTGACTGATGCCTTCGTCAAGCAATGAAGTCGACTCCTGGCTCAGGCGATCCTTGTACGACTGAGCTGCCCCACATCAGAAGAATCAACACAGAGCCAATCCACGCGATAAACTCAGCCAGATTCAACCGCACAGCAAATACACGGTGAGAACTTACACCACTACGCAACGCAAAGATGCCCTCACGATCCGAACACAATTTCGACGATGACGATGAATATCGAACCGAAGATAATGAGAACGTTGAAGACGAAGAAAGGCGTGAAGATGAAGGAGACGAAGCCCAAGAAGAAGAAGAGACTGAGCTTCGGTCCACGACACAAAGCCGTAAGCGACGCGCGATAGCCTCCCTTCCTTCAGCACCGGTGGCAAAGAAGAGAGGACGAGGCAGACCAAAAGGGTCGGGGAACAAGCCTAAGGCCGTCCCTAAAGACCCAACAGCACTCGGACGGAAGACGGCTAAGGATAAGAAGCTCAGCAAGGCCAAGCTAAAGTCGATGAGCGAATTGAGGCGAGCCCAGATGGCCGCTCTCACTTATGAAGTTATGATACGCCGATCACATTTGCTCGGATGGAAGCGCATGCCGGCCCAGATGTTGCCAACTTTGACGCGGGTTGGACTCGAGCGGATGAATGCGCAATCGGGTATCATGACTCCACGGAGAAGCGAGACATATGTGCAGTGGACAAGCGCCGTCATGATCCCCAACTCCTTTTATGGAAGTACTGTCTTTCCGTGTGTCAGCGGTCTCCATTTGATATTCTATCCCCTCGCCGAGGTCTCTGCTATGTACCGTCAAAGGATGACGGTTCGATGGTCGTCTGGAGCAAAGAGTTCTGCCGAGAGCTCACGGACATCCTTTCTCACCGCATATGGAATGGTGACGTTAATGTATTGGTCATTGTGCTCCAATACGCTGTCATTTGCCGAACGGATGACCGTAGGCTCTGGAAGGTTCCATCAACCAGGTTTCGAGAAAGCCCAACAGATCTTCTCAGGGCAGAGCTGCAGGTCTCCACTGCGCTCCTACAAACTTCCATCCACGAGCTCCACAAGGATATCCGCGACAACAGAAGCCCAGACATCATCCACTGCCAGCTTTCGAACCTGATGATGAAGATTGCAGACGTTGCTGCGATGCGAGTGAAGTCTGGATATAATAAGCGCTGGCACAAGACCAAGGAGAATCACGATGGATATGAGGTGTATGGTGTCACGATAGCAGACCTGGGCATTATCAAGGAGGCAATCGAGAGATCCACGGGTGTTAGCCCAGAAACATCATTTGATGCATACAAGGCGATCCGACCCATCCCCAAAGACATATTGGACACTGTTCAATTCAGGGGTCTCATGAGGCGAGCGTGGCTTCACGAGAAGCGCCTTGTTGACATCGACAAAGGCCGGAATGGTCGATCAGGAACACAAGCTGCGAGGTTTGCAGTCGCTCTTCCGGCCTTGGAAAATTCGAGGCGTGATGAATTTGAAGCGGAACAGGATGGGGTGAATGGCGAGATTCGATCAGAAGGAGGGGAAGAAGTCAGTGAGGCCAGCAACACCGGCGAGGAAAGTTCTCTTGATGAAGGAGATGACTTTGGTGATGGTGGTCATGGCGTTGACCTTGTGATAAGGTTGAGAGGTGGACAATCATGAGGATCATATGGGTGATGGTGATGACCCTGAGATCAGACAGAATTTTAATGTGCCTGAGGAGGAACCGACAGGTTTTGAAAGCAACTCACTTCACCAGGCCGATGACGAGACGCTAGATGAACCTTCGTTGATTGACAAACTTCTGTGAACACCACCTAGAGCCTCTGGTCATGAAGAACACCACTATAGCTATGAGCCTGATCAACCACTGCAATCTGTTGAGAGCCCGCCCGACTCTGCCTCAGTCAAGCCCGATATTACAGAACATCAGTCACTGCTGGTGCGTCCCTTGCATACGGTTCGCTCATCTGTTTTCCATACTGGCTTCCCTAAGCCGGTTGTTCGTTACCGAGAGGACAACACCAAGAGAGCTCAGAGGTATCTCTAAGTTGTTGGCTAGTTAATAAACAGTTTGCAAGTATAATAAAATTGCGATTTCTTTAAAAAGAAGTTTACATAGTAGTCAAGGAGCGAAAGTTGAACTTGGTAGATAGAAATACCAGATGTCTTTTCTAACACTACTGTATTCCATTGACGCTAGGTGATTTGGATTCACTCCCAAGTTGAACCCTGGCCCACTTTTTAAACTTCTTCACTGTCTGCTTGCTGGCCGCATAAGAAATTTCTTCACAACAACATTCACGCTCCCGCTAACGCTTACTTTCCCACACAGTACAATAGCTTCGAAATTTACGCGAGATACTCGGCCAAGCTCGAGATGACTGATAACGACAAACCGAAGAAGTCCCAGAAAGACCTACAGAACAAGGACAAGGGCAAAGATGACGACAAGCAGCTCACGAGTCGTGCTGAGTCGTAGAGCGGACAGCACAACTCGTCAGCTCGCGGCGATGAGACTGACTCTGGGTTAGCCCAAAAACTTCTGGTAATGCCTCCCGATTTGTCAATGTGGCCTTTCTGCCCGTTCGCGCTTGGGTCGTCTGTGGACAGCGTCGGCCAAGCTGAGGTATGCCATGTGAGGCAGGACACCAGCGCACCGACAACCAACGCGATGTGGCGTACCCGCATTGGAGAGAAGGAAGTCCTTCGCTTCACTTTGACAGATACTTCACCTTCAGCACTATCCCAGCTTGACGACGCGGCACGCCAGCTCTCGGGACCCGGACAGGTGCTAAAAAGCGCGTTTTGGGCCACTGACACCAAGAACTTTGTCCAGGAGGGTTCCAAGCGAAGGCTCTTGCAGTTACGTAACTCGACGACGGAGTCAAGGATATTCGCCTCACGAAAGAGGCCGTTGCCCGCTCTAGACGAGAAGGAGCAAGAGAGCTCTGGTCAACAAGAGATCGACGCCGTGGCTCAGGGTGATGGTCAAGACCAGGGTCATCGTCCCCAAAAGCGCCAGAGACGAGCTTATTGCGTTGGGTGCAAGTCCAACGAACACCGCCTGGACAGATGCCTTAAGGCTGGCGCAGATGGGTACATGAAGGGATGCCCGTACTGCGACACGATGGATCACAATGCCAACGCCTGCAGACACCCAGACCTTTTGAACGACAAGTCCGAGAGAGCCAAATACTTTGTGAAGTTTCGACGCAACATGCCAAGCTTCCTGAACATCAAGAGTTGGTACGACCTTGTCAACAAGAATGTTCACCGCAGCCAGCTTCGGGAGAACACTGAGTTCCCGTGGACCCCCGAGTTTACCAAGTCCAAAGCCGCACAAATCGACGAACTTCAGCGTAGGGTGGACGAAAAGGGTCTCGGAGGCGCAAGGCTGCCCGTGGATCCCACTGTCAATGGGTGGTCAGCTGTAGTAGCATATTGTGAGAGTCTCAAGAGAGAAGACCAGGAGACAGCCTTGGCTGAGACGCGTGCCAGGGTGGTTCCTTTGACAGATTTGCAAAAGGCTCTTGCGGCAAAGATGAGCCACACTGAAGAACCTGAGTCTTCGTGGTCAGCAGCCAAAGAGGGCAGTGAAGACACCGACATGGCTAGCAACAATCCCGTTGAGCCGGCTCCTGAAGATCACCGCGGCGTCACTTCTGTGCCCGAAGCAGAGGAGGAGTCTGCCGAGGCTGCTCTCTTTGCACTTGCAAAGGAAGAGAAAGAGAAGTCGAATCGCCAATCTTGGTCTGAGGAAGCCAAAGATGAGGATGAAGGCGTCGACAGCGATGATGAACTCGAAGACGACGACTTGATTCGAAAGAGGCGCAAGCAGAGGAAGGCTGCGCTCATACGGATGGCCATCCTTGCGAAGAGTCAGGCCACTAAGGAGTGATGGACTGATTACAGATCTGGTCATGGGATGGGTAGTTGGGGAAGTAATCACCATAGTGTCGAATCAATTGAATCGTCGTCATCGCTGCCATGAAGTGCCTCATTGAACATAGGCTTGTGTGATCTGTTGGAAAGTTTTATTAACGAATGTATTGAATTCACCATCCTTGTGCTTGTTGGCCTGCCGTTTCACACTCGCAATTGCAAGTTTTGGATTACACATGGCTAATATAGGTACTTTCAGACACGAATGCTAGTAATTAAACGTATCTCCACGGTGATTTGAAGACCACACGATTTCTTGTTTTAGTGTACATGATCGTGTTCTCTGAGATAAAGGCTCAGCCCCCAGAGACAAAAGGCAACTTCGTATAAATGTACAACAAAAGTCCAAGGACGTCAAGGGGTCACAGAGACATCGCGTATCGTATCATGTAAGACAATTGGTTGAGCTAGATAAACTTTGAACAATATCTCCACTTGACACATGTTGCGCCTTCCCATCCATGTGTGCCATGGTCGAAGGATCATGATCACCCCGTACTACAAACAAGCCTAACGCTCTGGTGATTCCTCGACTTGCTCCGTCGCAGCGATACAGCCTTTGTCGCCCATGAACAGCCAGTTTCAAACGTGAGGGCATGTCCTCTGCAAAGACGAAAAGAAAGCGTTGTGTGAGGTGGAATCGCTCGTCCTCTAATGTGAGGGCTTTGGCACCGTATAGTGTGAAGAGTTCGAGGCTCGCAAGTAAGTGAGTGTCCTGTGGTCGAGTGTGATGATTGTATCCTTGTGGTGGCCGCAAGTCGCTTGTGGAGCCCTGATGAATGAGGTGAGAGGTACACGGGTTCTTGGCAGTATCTCATGATATTTGTCGAGGACTATAAGCAGAGAATATGTACTTATTCAACACCGTGACTGTCGAAAATGACTGAATGACCGATGTTTATCTTATAGAACTTGTAGAGAACGTCATTCTCGGCATCGCGAAGAAAGATCGAGGTTAAGGGGCATGTCACATAATCACGGTGGACTAGCCACCATGCAGTAGCGACGAGACTTTCATTTCATATAGTATTAAATCTTGCTACCCGCTATCCCACGCTGCCTAGAATCCCAGACTCTTTGAAACGTTGACAACGCAACGAAGCCATCTTTCGTCCGGTGCTGTCCGCATTCGCGTAAGCAGAGCGTTTTGTTCTAAGCTCATACTGGCGACTAAGAGTCACCAGCAAGGATAATGGCCGCCCTTTTCTTGTTCATGACAACGCCATCAAGGACGACTGTTTCCTGTGAAGCATCCAGAGCTTTCTGGTCTTCTTTGGCACGGTGTTGATGGTACATCTTAACCGCACGTCAGCCCAACAGCTTTGGATCCTCCGGGAGTCTAAACTCACCTCCGAGACCGAGAGTGTCCAGATCATTCTGGAGTTGCTCAATGTCATCGGCATTGAACTTTGTGAACTTAGCGGACCAAGGAAAACGGTCTTGCGCGGTGAGGCTGCCTTCGACAGACGCAAGGCGGAACCAGGTGTTGAAGTCCAAGAAGCTTGGCATACTGCCTCGCTTCTTGACAAACCAAACGAACCTTTCCTTGTCAGTCTTGACAGTAGAACAGTTACTGGCATTGTGACTGAGGGTATCACAACGTGGGCAACCCTTCATGAGCCCATCGTCGTCGGCTTTGAGGCATGAGTCTAGACAATGCTTGCTGGACTTGCACCCAACGCAAAACATTCGTCTTTGGGACCTGTGGTGAGGTCGGCCTTTGTCTTGATCGCTACACTGACCTGAGCGCTCCTGGTCCGGTAACTAAAGGAGCTCAGCATCTATACGCCGTCTAGTAGGTGCCCTTGCTTCTCTCTCGGCAAGTTCATCGTAATCGAGTGGGAGCCGCTTCCTCTTGGAGTAACGATACAGGGCCGACTTCAGATTGTTGACGTCAATGACGGCTGAGAAACTCTGACCAGGTCCATTGACGGAGTATGCAACCTCCATGACTTTAGAAAGCTTAGTTATGTCACCACCCTTGAGTGTAATACGATAGGCACCCAGAGGTGTGGTCATAGTAACTTGAATACCGCTTCTTGCGAGCTCGTCGGTATTCAGATTCATTATGCCCCCATCAAGTTGCCCGGTCGAGTTCTCTGTCGTCAAAAGCTTGAGACTGTTTCGTAGCGTAGCTATCATAAGTCCACCGTTCCTGGTGCCTTGAGCTGGCGAGTTGGGTTGTCTGCTCGGCGGCCCTGGACGAGGTACCGAATGCTCACTGTCGCCGGTAGCTGTAAGATTACTCCCCGTTTCGGTCGCCAGGTCGCGTAGGTCGCTCATTTCGACTTTTGACCGATTATTGTTCGCGAAGATGTTGTGAATTCGCGTTGCGCTGTGAAAATGTCGAGAAAGGCTGATTGACTGCGGATGTTGTGAAAAGAAACACAAGTGGGGCGGGCACCCAGTGGGCTTCGATGAGTGTCAGCACTGCCATATTCTGTGACCATGACCACAGTGTCAAGAAATCGAAATTGATATGATATATGGATTCAATTCAATTGCGTTACTTGTCGAGTACAATTCTGGTATCTGAGCTTCTTGGTTAACGAATACCAAGTGCTATATATTAGTGTGGATAGAAAGTATATAAAACAAGGGTAATAAATATTAAAAAGTACATAAAAATATTACAGCTAAAAGTATATAAAATAAGGGTAATAAATATTAAAAAGTATATAAAAATATTATAGCTAAAAGAATATAAAATAGCAGTAATAAATATTAAAAGTGCATAAAAATATCATAGCTAAAAAGTATATAAAATAGGGGTAACAGATATTAAAAAGTATATAAAATATTAACCTAGAAAATATCGGGGAAGCTTCGGTTAAACACAGCCTTTAGTATTGCTACCTTGAACATGCGCATTATCAACACCCATCAGCACCACAACACTCAGACAATCGCATTTGAATATGGATTCTCTGACCTTACGTGACTGGCTATCGACCAATTCAGCTGGTAAAACCAGCTTTGGCCATTATAAGTATGAGCCAAGCCACCAACCGACATCAGATATGTGGCTTGAGATCCTCGCGATCGTTCTCCAGCCAGAGGGCTTGCAACGGTTGGTGATAGTGCACCCTGGTACGGCTTGCAGTACATTCAATTTCCGTCGGGTATTCCAACCCGACGTGGAACCAGGACAATTCCTGAGGACCTACGAGCAATGGCTAAAGGTTGTCAGAGACTACTGGTCAAGGTCCGATCATCCATCGGGCGTTGATCTAACGACTTTCGTGTTTGAAGTTCATCCGGTCATGACCGTTCCCTGTGCGATGGCGCTCTTGGCAACTATCCAGACTGCAGTTGAGACAGCTCCTGGCAACGTCCGAGTGCTGACAGTCTCGTCTACAGATATCGACCGGGCCTTTGTGAGACTCGTCGAGCACTACGGGTTTGAATCGCCGCAGCTCTTCACCCACATCAACAGTGCTTCGTCCGAAACCGAGCCTGATGATGTTCGAACTATTTACTGTGCTTCAAAGGCCGAGCTCAACAGAAGAGCGATCGAGAGAATCGGAAGCTTACAAGGAAAGCAGATTATCATCGACACTCACCCGTGTTACCTCGCAAAGATCTTGGATTTGGACGATTCCTGGAAACACGTTTCCATGGTTTCGAGCGATCTCCAACTGATCTGGGACGCGTTGGATGGAGTTTTAGATGACAATGTTGTTCTCCATGTGCTTCCTGGCCATTACTCTCCATTGCCTCTTAGTGGATACGACCATGTCCATGTCATTGCTGAGTCGGATCCCATGACCTACGAAACTGATACGACTACAAGCCAATTGACGGTCTCACTGAGACAGTGGAGCATTCAGGAACGGAAGGAGGTCAGGGAGCATGTCCAGCGGTTTGGTACCAAGTCTTTGTCGGTCGCATTCTATGTGGATCGACCAAAAAGAGAGGACGTCAACCTTGAATGGTGGGAAGACGGACCTGTCCTTCGCCGACAGAATGTTTGGAGTCGCAGCTTGGGAGCATTTATAGCCTCCGTCGCGTCGCTTGGTTCCAAGGTTGATGCAGCTGCTGTAGCTCAATGTTTCGTCCCAGAAGGGATGAACACATTGTACCAAACCATGGTCAAACGTCTACATACTCAAGGTATCATCAACCTTGGACAAGATGGGCATCTGGCTATGAATCTAGAGGGTCACGAGTTGACAGCCTTTTTTACTGTCCTCCCATTGGTGAGTTATGACCACCGCCTGGCATACCTCATCGCGCAACAATCCGAACCTGAAGACGACGTGGCGCTTCAGGTCAAGATTCAACTAGCTGCAGTGATGACTGTTGGAGGTCTCTCACTGTTCAACTTCGATGAGAGTTTGGGGGGCCCAGAGCCAGCCGACACTCTAGAAGCTGTGATCCAGGCCTGTACCGGCTATGGTGCCTCTTTAAGCGACCAGGGAAGCATGTGGCTTGCGCTTGGTCTCTGGAACCGAGTTGGCAAAGACTCCATGAACTTCTCCCAGATTCCTGAATCTGATTCAATCACGATCTCAGGAACTTCGGTGCGTGTGAAATGGTCTAGTTGTGTCACGGTGCATGAGCTCTGGAAAAGTATTTCCTCTGCTCTTGTAGCAAACGGTATTGATACGGTCCGAAGGGATCTTACGACTGAGACACAAGTACTTTCCCATGGCGACAGCAGGGGTATAGAAACTCACTTGGTCAAGGCGTATCTATCCCAGCTAGTTGCGCATTATTATGATGGCCTTGAGTTTCTAGACGTATCGTCAAGACGCAGGATAAACGGCTTCGTGAGCGAAGCTGGGTTGACCCTTGAGTTCGACAATGTGCTGGCAGACTATGGACCTGCCTTTGGCATTTACCATCACCTCGTTCGAGTTGATGGTGAGGTTGTCTTTAAGGACTGGACTCGAGTGAGTTCTGGTGCTGTGGATAATTGGATGGAAGAGAACCCAGACAGGTCGGGAGAATACGACGCTATAATTCGGAGAAGGGATACGGACGAGACCCTGCCTAGGCCGAACTATGACGAGTACAACTAGAGCTTACGGAAGGCAAGGGGAACAAACATGCTTTGTGTTAGAGTTTGGTACTTAGGGTATACCCAAGGAGCAGGCTGATGTCAATAAGGACTTTGTTTGTGCTTACGGTCATCTCAAATTAAGTGACTAAACGGGTGAAGACTTCTTATCTACGTGTATGGATGTCATGAAGAGCAAAAGTGTACGTGTCTGGAGTTCCAATTTTGACTCAATGTGGCGGTGATAAAAATTCAATTCATCAGGCTCTGTAATGGCCATTCCATACGAGTATGAATCCCTATACACCCCAGGTACGCATAGCTCATTTTCAGTCGACTCTTCACATAGGAGTCTTCTCAATTGAATCCCCCATCCACAACATGTCGTCGCCACCAAAGAGGGCCTCTTCATCGTACTCGATCTTCCATTCGACTTCGTCTTTGCTGGCCGTTCCAGGATGATGCTTCCCTGTAAAGATAGGTCAGAATGAAACTCAACAACCACAGACTCTGGACCAAGTGGTAATATCAGACTCACGTTAGACGCGAACAGCACAGTCAGGTTTCATTCTCTTTGAGCAGGTCACTAAGCGCTTTGGACTTGGTTTTGGCGTCTTCATCCTCCAACGTCTTGTCGTTGGTCAACCACACCACGCCGTAGATCTCGTTGCCATTCGACATCATTATGCCATCCACAATTTGGTCGTCGTTCTTCATTGACCATGCCATTTCGTCGACCTGCGCAATACGGGACGCGTCGTCGCTTCGGAACAAGATGGCGGGCCGACCGGTGAAATTGGACACGACCAACTGGTTCCTCCTCAGCTGGCCAATGTATTGGTCCGTGTATCGTTTGACGTATTCTTTGATCGTACCATCGGCCATTTTGTTGACTCTCTCGTCCATCGGGGGATGTTGAAAAGCATTGGGTGGCAATACATGTAAAAGGGGACCAGAGATGCCCTTATCATCCTGGACCTGCTTCGTCTTGTCGCTGTTGTTGGCCATTTCGATAAATGAGACTGTGCTTGTTGCGAGTCCTGTGGATGTTGTGTTGTGCGGCGAGCGACTGTGAGCGGAAGGGTGAGAGTTGTTGTGAAGAGTTCCACAGGTGAGCTGCGACAAGGCAGGTACTCCAGTGAATATAAAAGCGGGGCAAATGTGCTTTTGTCCAAGAGACGTCGAGTTAGAACACATGAACCACAGCTTGTGAACTGGATACTCTGCGTCTGAAAAGACCAGCTTTATGTTGGGCTATTAAGTACTTGAGATTTAAGGATTTTGCAGTAGCTGATGCAAAACTTCTTACTACCGATTGGACTTACTGGTGGGTGATGAACGTCGCGCAGCATTACTTTTAATTTGAGTTGCCAGTCATTCAGGGACAGATGTAAGGCCTTGGATATTTTAGCTGTCTAAGATCATGCTGCAGCTACCTTCATGTACCAAGTTTGCCCTATCCACTCTCAGTCTGCCTCATTCAGACCCTCCGTGTTTCACTGGTCTCTATCGCCACAAATCTCAACGTGCTTGGCGTACAAATGCTCAAGACCCTTAGAGACAGCACTTATGTTGCCGTTACGAGATACAAGGGAGTCAAGTAGATGACTATACAGCGACAGCGATGCTCCATCGTACACCTTGGAGAGCCAGTCCGTCATACCACCCCAGAATCTCAGCAGCTCGACCCGATCATAGACCTTTCCTCCGTACCCTTCAGCAAATTCCAAAGTGAGGACCACGCCAGGTTTTTCATCGTTGTCATGCACCATTATAATCTCTGTCTTGAGACAACAACCTCGCGGGAGTAAAGCTGACTTGATTTTCTGCGAGTGTTGAAGGTCTGGACCGGTAACGCAGTTGTCGAACGAAACGTGTGGTGGGACCTGCATCTGGAAGGGGCCGATGATGGGACTTCTAAAAGAGAGACTGTTACCACCAGTAAGCTTCCAGAACCACAGTCGCTGCTGATATTTGGACAAGTCTGGCGGCATGGAAGTCGAAAGTGTTTCGATGTTGATTTCGCGTGGAACGATTGAAGGTGGCTGCGTGACTGAGGCAACAGCGTCATTTGAGGAGGCATCAGGACTTGGCTTCGAAGCCGGCAAAGGAACTTGCGGGACAAAGGATGAAGAGGCGTTGGAAAGAGCGGTGCTCGCGCTGATGTCGGATATCAACGACTCTCTCTTGGCTGTCTTGCGTGCCACTCTGTTCAACCTATTCCGATACTCGGTGTACTCGCGCGATGAAGGGTGGGTGTTTTACATCATTTCAGTCGTCATTTGGAATGGCCATTGCGGGATCCTGGCCAGAGGTTTGCCTGTCATCTCCGACTTGATTTCGCCAACTAAACTGTGGTTAGTCATAGAAGAATTAGAGTCCGAATCAACTCACAAAACATTTCCCACACCTCATGATCCACCAGAAAGTCGAATACAGGGGCTTGAACCTTCTCTACATTTTTGAAGAAGTATGTCTGGCAAATTTCCTGGCTCGCAACCCTCCATTTCCAGTCAAGAGTGTCTGCTAGATCTGGGTAAATATACTCAAGATATGCACGCACATGAGGGCGGCGAGAAGCTGTGGATGAGGCATTCACTGGCTCAGTGACATGGAATCTGCCTTGACGCTTACCTATAGGACAGAAGTCCAGGTAATCATCAGACATGATTGTTGCGCGCTCTGCTCCGAGGGTTGTGTGTGGTTGTTGAAGTTGGAGGTTGTGGAGAGGAGGAGTTCAGATGAGAGCACAGAACAAACAAAATATCGGGCATCGGGAGTAGGTAAGTCCGTTCAATTTTGGTTACTGGAGAGTGTGGTAGTACCACGAAATGCTTAGCTGGGCCGTGGCACTGCCATTCACAGCGGATCCACTGTGTAACGCACGACAAGGTCACTGCTCTCACCCTTCTACTCTTCCTCTTCTCAAACTTAGTTCGGCACACCCAGCGATACTCACGATGGCAAAGAAAAAGTCATGCAAAGACTTCAAGTGCCTTTCAACGAAGAGCGATTCCCACTGGCAGACGCCCCCCTCTGAGGCTCAGAAAAGCAATCCTATCGAAGAATCGAGAGTTGCACAAGATACGGACGAGATGAATAGTTTTGAGGAACCTGCTGCTAAGAGACGAGCGTTGGGCAGCGGCAAACTGAACGCCAGATCTTTCGAATATCGCGATCTGCAAATTCGAAGACGACGACCGACTGAAAGCCAACGACCAGCAGAAAGTCATTCAGACTCCTTTACGAAGGTTCAATCTACCTGTAGTCGCGGTCGAGGACAAGATCGAGACAGGGCACCTCATTGTGGTGGCTCTCACCACGGTTTTCAAGTTCGAGTCCGAGACCTTTCCCCTGTTGAGGATGACGTCGAGATGGAGGACGATGATCTACCGAGCGACAATCCTGCAGCGAGCCGAACGGCACAAACCAACTGGATGAGCCAAGAAGAAGCCAACGCTGCTGTCTCTTGTCTTGGACCTCTTGATACGATCCCTTAACTCTTACTTATTCACTGATCACCATGGAAATGACAAATCAAAGGAAGTGTTCTCGATTATATCACCTTGTGCTTTACACTCCGAGACTAGAGAGACATATACCGTATCATGGCTGAGATTGACGCAAGGTCTTGGTCAAAATGATTGTGACATCGATATCTGAGACGGACAGCGTTTCGTGGAGATGTCAACGGCATGCATGACTATCGCGTGCGAGCCTCTTGCTCGTTTTTGGAGACTGCATCAGGTACCGGCGTACTCTCAGCAGGACATATGTCAACATTCGGCACCACCACGACGCTCGCCCAGTAACACCAAGCCCTTTGAAAACTTATTAGTTTATTTCGGTCGGCTATATAGTCATATTTGAGAGAATAAATATCCTCAAAACACCAAACACGATATTATTTGCAATCTTTATGGACTGATAACGATGACTCGACTGGATTGTGGCTATGGAAAGTATATCGATACATTCCTTCAGGTTTGTATTACACATTACATTTCATTAGGCCCTGACTCCTTCCAAGTCTCCTCAGAACAAGTTGCCTTTGTCTACACAATATGATCTATCCACCAATTCCACTCCTGCCCTTCGACTACAAACTCAATCTCATCTTCCCCTTCGCCGATAGTGATGGTGGCAGTGATGCCATCGTGATCGATCTCCAAAAAGTGGTGATCTGCCCATCGAAGCTCAGAGTCTCCAAGCAACAAGATACCATTAGGCTTCCTGAAGAACCCAACGAGGGTCCAGTCCTGACGATGGAGTGATGTTTCACATACCAGTCGCTGACCCTGACCCCACAATGTGACAGAGCGAGACACGGATGAGATTCTCTCATGACTACCACCACGGTTGGCCAATTCATTGACTTCATCCTGTAACACAGGCCATGCTCGCCCAATCCTCTCAGAGACCTGGAGTAGGAGGAAGATTTGGAAGGCGTGCACACCTTCAACCTGAATACAGACAGATACTGTATCGAGAAACAGTTTCAAAACTGGGATGATGCATGCACAGTCTCCATCCAGCTTCTGCTGTATGGCCACTGAGCAGCTGACCATACCAACAAGCGATCTCGATTCAACAGAAGCCACGATCTGAAGTAGCAAGGCAGTAAGACTCTCTGTCCTCTCGCCCACTGCCAACATTGGATCTTTAGACCAGGTCTCCTGGACCTTCCATGGGTTCTGAGTAGGAAGTGCCACTACCAACTCAGTGTTCCAGTCGATGCTTTCAATGATTTCCGGCCACTCGACGCCTGAAGGACACTGGGCCATGAGTAATTTCGCCATAGCGCTGGGAGCCTGCTTCGCTTCGTTCAAGGCTGACTTGTATTTGTCACTCCTGTTCTTGTAATGTGTCGCCTGATTCGACAAAGAGTTGACTTGGCCTTTCAGGCTTTCGTTCCAATCGGTGAGTTCTGCGTAACCTCTCGCCTCATTGCCGTATGCATTGAAGGACTGCTGGGGACTATCAAGAGATCGACCTTGCTCTTGAATAGTTTGTTGGACATGGCGGAGCTCATCCGACAAATCATCTCCGGCTCTTTCCCGTGTTGTCTCTTGGGTTCTTGTCGCTTTCAACTGTTGCTCGAGATCCGCGACCTGGCTTTCGAATCTGAGGATTGTTCTGTCGCGCTTTGAGCAAAGGTTCATCCATTTATCTGACGAAACCTTTATCGAATCGGCGAGTCGGCGGTAATATTCGACCTCAGTGCGTGCCTCGTCTCGCTCTTTAATCAGGAGCTGTTGACTATTGACCAAGTCTTCATGTTCGCCAAGCTTCTCCCTTTCGCTGGTAACCTGAGCGGTCAGATCTCGAATATTAGAATCTCTAGCATCGAGCTCTTTTCGGAGAGTGTCAAGCTCCGATTGGTGTGCCTCTCGTGATCGCTGGTACTCTTCGATAGTTGTGTCGGTTGTCGAAGTTGTGCCTCCAAGTCTTTCATTTGCTTGTCGTTCATAGCTTTGAGCTCATTCTGAGTGCGCTGATTATTCTCAGATTGTCTTCGATGGGCTGCCTAGTGCTGATCGTGTTGCATTTTATGTGCTGTGTAGAGTTGAAAATAGTTGTTAAGCCTAGATTGGGAGTTTTCTGAATGTGAAGGTTGAAGCAGAGAAAAGGCGCTAGCGTCCGTGATTCAGTCGCACCATTTTGCTGGGCCTCAAACCTACGATGCCTGTCACCGTTAACAACAGCAGCCTCCAACCTATCGATCTGCTCGATGAGCTCCTCATGACCTGGTCCCTGAGTTGCGACCTGGCTCATTCTAGCTGTCAAGGGATCTTTCGGATCCCCTACGTTGAGCCTCGAAATCGTCTGCTCTGATGCAGGAGTCATTTCATGACCCATGGCCTGCACGAAAAACCTTACTCGAGGGTTCTCCTGCATAAGCCAACCAAGAATCTCAGCGGCAAGCTCTTGAGATGGCTCATCATTCCCATCACTAAGCTCTCGCGCCGCCGCCAGTGTGGAGTCGTACTGACAGAGCTGATCTCTCAAGTCTCGCAGTGTCTCGTCCACCCTGACGTGCTCGCGTACCTGGGCTTGCAGCTAGGCTTCACGCGCGTCTATATCGGTGCGCCATGCCTTGGCCTTATCCACGTTCTCGGGAGTAAAACCAGCTTCAGTAGCACTGCTCACTGGTCCCCTCCGCACCTTATCAAGGGCATCGCTTAGCTTGCCTATAGTCTCTTTAACCTTATCCACTTTATTCTTTAAAGCAGGTCCAAAGACTAACCAACCGCCGGGCTGCCTTCCAATAGTTATTTACTTACTTATCGTATTGCATTTTATGCGCTGTATTAAGCTATAAATAGTTAATAAGTTCAAATCGAGAGTGTTATCAAAACGGGAAGGAGAGAAATGGCGCTAGCATGGTTCCCGCCACACCAGCGGGAATTTAGGGGGTTAGCGCTCAGGTACGCCCCCACTAGAGCAGTTAGCAAAGTTCCACGCAATTTTCAATGCACCCCACGAGATTCTTTCCTGATCCTCTCGCCGCTCCTTCGTCATCTTAGCTTTTATACATGGAATTTTCATACTCAAGTCATAATTAGAGAGAGCTTCATTAACAATATTATGATCTTAATGAACTCTGAAACTTTCTACATAATTCTGTCCAGGTTAAGGACATAGTGTGAATATTAACAGTCTCTTTGCCATGTTGTCAGATCTGACCGGGAGGTTATTTCGGGCCTTGACTTGCTATGCTTTGGCTTTTGACCATTACTGTTAGCGGAAATGCTGTGAAGGTATGTTGTGATTCGAAAAATAGCGGCACTGGATAATCTTTTGGAATAGCACCAAGCACTGATTCACTGTACCAAGCTTGTGACAGTTACCAAGGTAGCCGTTTGGGAAGGCCGTCTCTGGCCGCTGATGTAAGTGACTGTGGTCAATGAGAGGATGTCGCCCTGGAATGGGTTGTTCTCAGCCATGCATATCTCCGCATGCTTGATCAAAGTAATGACACAACTGAGGTGGTCATCAGGTTTGAGTGTGGGGACAACGGCATCCACTACTTTATGTGCACCCTCCCGAGTATCAGCGATGGGCCTGGCAAGCTTCAGCAGCTCCTTGTAGGTCCAGGTGTCCGCATATGTTCAACAACTCATCAACGACCAATGCCTTATTTGCCCCAACTTCATGCCATTCAGTAGTGCAGGTCTTCATCCCCTTCAATATGGACTTTAATGTGATGACCGACAAGAGGTCTTCGTTGGATTCGGACAACCGAATCGACCTTCTGGCGTTTGTCTGTTGACTCAGTGCCGCTGGGGCTGTTGGGGCTGCTCTGGGCTTATCATTTGATCCCTTGGGTCCGCCTGCTCTTCGTTTAGTCTGCGGGGTGAAGGAGGAGAAGCTGCAAGACGGTTACGATCGCTTCTTGCGACCCGTCCCTTGGGTCAACCCGCCCCCGCATCTTCAGCGGAGCAGCTTCAGAGCGGCCGACGCTGTTCACAGACGACCCAAGCGTGAATGGGTTAAAAGGGAACATAGGCAAATTAGGAGGCATTATAAGAGGTTTTCGGGCTAAGCTAGAGCCAGTCTTATTACTGTAAGATAACGAGTTATGCTATCTGCTTTACGACTTGACTATTTACATTTGCTAATTTTGTAAGAATAAACGTTATGCCGTCCTTACTTAAAGCCTGTTTTCTAGCCATCTGGGACAAATATGAGTAAGATGGGCAAGGTCTCAGGGTGTGCGGAAGTCGTTCGACACAAGCGACCCAGATATTCACAAAATCGTTCAGGGTATTTTGTTCGATATAAATGCCACCGTCTTGGAAGCCGTCGAAGCAAAGAAACGCGGAGTTGGGAACACTCTTTGCAACCTCTTCGAGGGCCTACCCGATGTCCCCGATTTGTCAGAGCCTTCCCAACCGGCTTCAACCCGCCTCCGACCCCGACCGACTGTTGCGTGGCCCTCATCTCGTCAGCAACAACTGGCACTCCCTCCGGTCGATCCCAGGGAGACAGCTGGTGAGCCGTCAGGACGTGCTGGGGGCGGGTCTGTAGGTGGGTAGGGTGGTGTGCGTGAAGCGAAAGGCAAGCAGGCAGAGGACGTCGATACTGGGCTTAGCGCATAAGCCTCTCGCTCGCGCATTATGGAAAACGCTTTGATGGATATACCGCGCGTATTAGTTGAGCTCAGTCCAGAGGAACCAGAAAGTACGAGCGATGAGGAGTCGAAGCAGGAGAGCGAGGAAGAGGAAGAGGATGAGGTTTTGGGCAAGGATTGAGGTGATGATGAGGCGTCTGAGCCTCTCTAACGATTGTCTAGCCGTCGTCCTAGGCGTCCGAGGCGACTATGTGATTGAACTAGCGTCTGAGGTGGTCTATGGTATAGTACGACTGTATCAAGCATATAATCATGATCGCTCCCTGGAATAATTGACTGCAATGTTTGTGTTGATGCGCAACAAATGGTCTCTGTGTTCATAGCCTAAAGCTTAGCCATATAGGCCGCAATTGTCCCATAGCAACACCTGATCAGTGAGATAGCAGAATTCTAGCCAGCTATGTCTGTTGGGGAGATCCAAGGCCAATCAGGAATCATCACCGTGTTCTCATTCAATTTACGTTCCATATCTGAGCGAACACCAGATAGTGATTATGTTACTCTAACCATCTCGTAAGTCTTCGTCATCCAGGAGGTGACAATGTTATCGATACGTAAAGTTCTAACTTTTAGATCAACAAGGTTCTTGTTTAAGTGTAAGACTTCAAGTTTCGTTGAGATGAACCAATTCAAGGCAGGTACAGGACGCCAGGACAAAATGATTATCGCCTTTGCGTCAGTTTCCCCATGCTTTTTTGAATCCATCTTCTCCGGAATATTGCCATATACCCTAAACCACAATTCCTAACCCTAAATAGCATCGTGAAGTCCTTCAGACCAGCCCTTGAGGCTTAAACACCTCTCTGCTGTTTCAGTTCAGCGATCTCGCTGATCTTGCCCTTCAGTTCGTTTTCCAACATTACTCTATCAGCTGATAGCTCCTCGATGCCTTCGCTTAGATGTTTGATCATCACGGCATCTTCTTGGACCTTTTGAGACAGCTGAGCTATCTCCCTTGCCTGCGCTTGAGTCTTCTTGTGCGCCTCGAGCAGACCCTTTCGGAATTCGGCTTCCTTGTTCCGCACTATTTCTTCTACCTCCCTTCTGTCTTTGACCGCCATTCGGTGGTCTTCCTCCTCTTTAAGCTCGTATAACTCCATTCGTTCCTGGAGTTGATCACGAAGGGCTTGGTTCAGCTCTTTGAGTGTGGCGATCATGTCGTCTTTGTCTCGGTCCGTCATAGATGGATCATGTACGGACTCTCTCAGGGCCTTGATCTCTTCATCCTTGGCTTTAAGCTTGGCTTCATATTCCTCTCGCAGTGCGGCGGTTTCTGGTCCCTTGTCTTGTAGAGCCTGTCGCGCGATGTCGTAGAAACCAGTTCGTGTCTCTTGCGAGGTTCTCCGAAGGTCTTCCAGCGCGGATTCCGTTTTGCTCGAAAGTATCGTATGCTCTATCTTGAGAACGTTGCTGATAGCCTTCAAGGTTTGATTGAAGGCTTTATCGGACTCAGCATTGAACTGCTCTGTGAACTTCTCATGGAGGGTTTCACAAGCCCAGTCATGTTTTGTAATGTTCGCTTCAAAGCTTTCCTGCTGAGACATGTTGAAAAGTAGATGAATGGTGCGCGAGTGGTTGGAGGCTATCACGGCGTTCTCGTTTGCCTCTTTGACGGATGTGTAGGAGAGAAAGTGTAGGGTCGGGTGGCTGCTGTTTGTCGTGAAGTTGTAGCCAGCACTCAAGTGATACAAACTCAACTTCAGCAGATGTGAATGAGAACAAACAGCCTCTGTCACCAAAACCATAGGTGGTCAGGACGCCTTCTTAAATACCCCAGCAGCTGCAAATAAAGTTACCAATTGAGCCATCATAAAAGCATGTTATTCTGCTTTTGATTGGGAGACTTCTCAACATTGAGTTTATGCACATATTGCCTCCGAAAAGTCGAAGTTTGTTAGGATTTTCAGAGTTTTGGATTGGCATGCCTTGTGGCGACGTTGTAAGCTTTAAGTAACAATCCGCCATGGGTGGTCAAGGGCAGAGTTCAGCGACTAGGTAACAACCCCCTTCCCCCACCTGGTCACATTAATGTTTCCTTTTTCAGATGCAACCCCAGCTACCCAGATAATGGATTAGCGCAGTGTGAACTCAACCATAGTGCTAACAGCACAGTCATAGTTTCACCTATCGAAGAACCAATCACCATGATCAATGGGCAAGCAATCTGCAGTATCGGTGTAGAGTTAACATTATACTTGTGTTTATCTCTCAGCATCCCATAGCTTTGACATTGCTGCTCTATGCTTTTCCTCTCACTCTTTGCGATCCTTTTGCCAGAGAATAGGAATATCTCTAGGGCCAGTAGATCCGATTCTTGCGGACCGAAAGCGTGTGTTCAAAGGTCTCAGCTGCAGTCGCTCGGGGCCAGGACCTGGCTTCAAAGACCCAGAACCAGGGCTTTCCACCATTGCGAGAGGTTGGTGAGGACGGTCTTCTGTGTCAATGACAGGGTCTCTAGGCGATGTTGACTGGATTGGCTCGATAGGCGATGGCTTGCCTACCATCTCAGAGCGAAGGTTATTCTCCTGTTGCGTCTTAGGGCCATTACTATTATAATCCTTGCCTGAGAGGACTGTTAGAATGGCAATCAAAACCGCCGCCATCGGTAGCATTGTACTTACCACCGCAGCCGTCTTCAGCGTCTTTGGGGGATAGGAGATTATCGGTGTCCTTGCCTTGAATTGCACTCTTCTTCACTTGTAGACTGGGCGTGACATGGTCTGGCCCGTCAGATGCAAGAATCTCGGCGTAATCGCGCTCATTCTCTGGCTGACGCGAAGACATCTTTGTGTGCGGGGCTAATAAGTTAGCAACTAAGTTCCAGTATTTTGTGAGTCGTTCAATCTTACGAAGAGCAAGTGCACAGTCTGGTGACCAGACGATCTCGGTGGTGTTGCGTTGTGTTGAAACAAGAGAGCTAGCAGAGGTGAGGGAAAATTCTTAACAAGCAAAACAATGTCGGCCAGCGGGGGCAATATACTCCGTTTCTTTTAGCACCAGAAGGCCAACAACAGGAACCAGTGACGCTGATCGGCTGGCAGTGAATTGCTTATAGAGCGTCTGTCCCTGTCACTGACTGCCCAGTCATGGTTCCTTATTTCGTCAAGCCCCACAATCTGTAGTGTGGTTGCACAAGGCTTACCTGGGGCAACTCGTCTATGGACATCGCTCACAGAATGGCAAGGCAGGGTTCTTGGAACTTTGTTTTGAAGTACGCTAAGTATGGACGCCGGCTCAACCCATCATGTACAACTATGAAAACAACAGAAATGCTGACCACTCTATCTTCCATCTAGTCATCGTCTTCATCCCCAGACTCATCTCCAGAGTCATCATCACCACCATTGCCACCTCCGACTCCACCTCCCGTTCCAGCTCCCTCATCACCGCTATCCTCGTCATCACTACCACCGTCCAGGAACGCGTTAGGTACCGTCGCCACAGCGCTTCCAGAGTCACCCACTGGATCCAATGCCTTGGCCGCAACGGCATCAAAGCCAGTTGTCTTGGCTTGCGCCAGACGCGCAGTGAAGGGCCCAAAGCCCCTTTCATGGAAACCAAGGAATGCACCGGGGTTTGAAGGGTCGCCTCTCGGAGGCCTCTCAGACAGCGCCCAGCCCATCACCGCGTTTCCAACAGCAGCTTCGGGACCGAGACCCAATGTGCTGTCGAGACAGTTCTCACAGAGAAATGTGTACAAGAGGGAAGTCTCGTTGACTGAGACACCATCTGGTAGCGGTCTGACTTTGAAGTTTCCTTTGACTTCCGCAGGGTTGTCCTCGTCAATCGCCTGTCGAAATGAAGCCATGACTCCTCCTTTTCCGTCAGGCCATGCAGCGAGGATGAAGTTGCCCTCCATATCTCCCGTCAATCCAGCCGCACCCCATCCCTCCCCGTTCGCCAGTGGGAATTGTAGTTGACCGATAAACGACCCAGCAGTTGCGTTTGCAGATGCGGCGTCGGGCAAGGCGAGAGCGAATGCGAAAGAGGTTCGGGCACCGAAGAAGCGCTCCATTGTGAGACCTGTCACTTGGTCCACAAAGGGCTCGGAGACTTGATTTACTGAGGATGTAGGCTCATCGTCGGCTAGAGCGAGTGCGGGAAGGAGGAGGCTTGTGGCGAGGATTCGGTGAGGGTTTATGTATCTTTGACGGGCTGTTCGTCGATTGTGGATGTTTCGAAGAAGAGGCATTTTTGGGAATGTGCTTGTACTGGGTCTCGAGAAAATGGACTTTGAATGTTACAAGCACTGCTGTTGGATGAAGACAGGATACAAGATGATGAAATTGCACGAGAAGACAGCAGGTAGTCCAGGACTTATAGTTCTTACCTCAGTGAAGCCAAGAAATACAAGAATAGCCTCAAACCTTTCATCCTCGAGAGGGAGCCAAAAGCCAGGCCTCTCCCACCCACCTCACTTCTAATTCCAGCACGTAACTGTTTCGCCTCCGCATTTGGACTCGAGAAACGCTCGCTTACACTCAAGAACCCATCTCGTCTGAAGCCTTCTGTTTCCAGCGCACTGCTCCGTCTCATCGCCACTGAAACGGTTCTGTTTCTACTATTAATAGGAACCGTTTGAAGCTTAGAAATATGGTTGCAATTGCTTAAAGCGTGATTGGCTCGAAAATTACAGACGAAACAATGCGAAACGTCGATTTAGCCTGTTTGTGCTGAGTGGTCGGTTGACTGCGTCGCTTAAGTGAGGATGAAACGTTTTGAGCCAGAGGTTCGGGTTTCGACCGCCCCCGCAACGATCTTGGCAAGATGCCGACAACCGTTCTTTGAATAGCTTTTCTAATTGTGTTTTTATGTCTTTGGTGATTTTTCTCTTCTTCAGAGATGGGGCTACGTGTGACCGGATTGGGGGGTACCAACTTCTCGATGGGTATTCTGGGTCTTGAGTAAATGGCATTATGGGTGTCAGTTGTCACGTTTGCTCTCTGGCCAAAGACAGCTTAAATGCGCCACGGGGAACTTCTTCCATTCACAACTTTCACATTACATCGAGTCATCAGTTTCGACAGCTCAATCACTTGATGTCCCAATTCATGGAACAGAACGCCGTAGCATCAGGCGTATGATGGCTTGTCTCATGTCTCACATTCCCAAACATCGCAATTGGGTAAGTTCGGAGTTTTCTATTACTTAGCTCATTGAAGTACCCAAAAGACTGATCAAACTATAGTGACTAACACCGAATGTACCATGAACAGACAAGCGTTACGTCCAGTTGGTCTCCAGCAATCGTGTATCCCGCCCAATGCTTCAAATACATCCAAACAATGTCGATATCTTATGCTCCTCCTGTCTGCACCAGCGGACAGTCGTCTTGCCAGTTCTCTCTGTACACGGCGTCTCAATGCCAGCGTCGACAAAAGAGGAAGTCGAAGAGAGCGGTGATATGGGACCTGGAATTACTGAAACTGTCAGCCATGTGTTCGAAGAGCGTTCCATCAACTTACCTGTCGCTACCAGCTCAAGAGTCTCCGTTTCGTCCGTCCTCCACGACCACCTCATACTCCAAGGACCGAAGCCGCTCATCGCGGCAGAATCCTGCTGCTGCTTCATAAGCAAGCAAAAGCATCTTCAAGGCCTCATCCCCTCCTTCGATAAGAACAATCTGTTGAGTACCATCCGCTAAGTCATGTACACTGACCTTCTGTTGATGGCTTGGTAGCCCATAGCAGGTTTGCAAAGCCAGACTCCGGAAGTTCCCTTGCTCATCGATGGCGCCAACAAGTCGGAGGGTCTGGCCGACCACTAAGAAGGAACCGGGTAAGCCCATGTGATATAATGTCGGTTCTTGGTTATCTGTAGGGGTGACTTGGATCTGGTCGTCTCCAGGTGCACTGGGGGTCTCTTCGTTGCTCATGATGGAGATGTTGTCGTGCGCTTGGGATGAATGGTTGGGATGAGAGCAGGATGAAGACAATGGTGTGAAAAGAAAAGGATGCTCGCCTCTGAGTATTGCAAGAAAAGCTTGCTGGCCATATGGCCCATCTTTTGGTAGCTTACAGCAGTCTTGAGGTGAATGGATGATGTCTGATTCACTGGCGCACGAAATGATTCAATGAGCAGGCAGTACAGCGCTGAGCTGCGCTAAGTGCACTGATAGCGCTGAAGAACTAAGGTAAACAACAAAGACTACGCTCCACAGTCCCCACATTTCCATCAGTGAAGCAACCGTGCCTAGAAGCGTGACCAAAGCCAGATAGTGAAATGTCCATGAGCTGCAGATAGTGTGAATTAAACAGGAAGACGTCAATTTGATCAAGAGATCATTAACTGTATCTTTGAGCGTGTCATACCCAATTCACAATATGTGCAGGAGAGATCTAAGTTTTTAGGTTTGTCTCGCGTGTCTATGTAAGATGATTGGTGGAAAATGACAGGGCTGCCCCCTGTTCTGCTGGTTCACTGCGAATGCCCACTGTTGTCAAAGACAGTGGACGGCTTCACAAAGGAACCTTGGTACGAGTTATTGGCACGACCCAGAGCAGAACATCACGAAGATGAAGGAGAAAACGGTTTGAAAGAGTTTCATTCTGCCTCGGGTCATAAAGTCTCCGAAGTAACTATTGAGCACTTTCCTGATCCCGTACCACATTGCAACCACGTACTACCAAGTCCATACTGTCCAACTCTAGTTCACCTCATCCTCATCCTCATTCTCGTCCAAAGGGAACTCCCAAAGACATTCCTCGGGCATCTTCTCGGGGCCACAGCGTGGGGGCATCTCATGGTTGACTGTGGCCCGGGCGATAACCCGCAGACTGTTGCTGATGTCGATCAAAGTTGAGAGCGTGTTGGTGGCAACGGCACGCTTGTGCTCAGCGCGATGGTCCTTCATAGTGTCGGCGTCAGATCTGTTCGAGTGAGATGCGATAGCACGACGGGCCTTCTTGCGAAGCCGGATGGTCTTTGGGTGGGAGTTGTACGCCTCCTTGGTCATGCGGCGATTGACCTTGATGTGCTTGATGAAACGTTCGAGTAGACTTCCCATACGCTGAGTGCCCTGAGATTTCGTTAGCACTCATAATATGAAAATAAGAATGTCTCAAACTAACGCCGTCGCAACCCGCGTAGCTCTTCTTCTCCAGGTAATCAAAACAGACCTGATCGCAGGCCTCGCAAAGAAACTCCTCTCTGTTGACTGCCGAAGAGTTAGCGGAAATGTGACAGGTAAAAGCGTATGCATGCGGAACTTACAGTCCTCCTCGTCGATACAGATCTCTGGAATCTGCTTCTTGGGAAACCAGTCAATGGCTTTTCTGAGACATGGCTCACAGCTGTAGAGACCGGGGCGCCTGAAGGGGTCAGTGAGAGGCCCGGTTCTTTGCGAGGCGTTTTAATGTGGAAGATAAAAAGGGGGAATGACTGAGTGGTGAGATGGCACAATAGGGGATTGTGAATGAGAACACAAAGTGGGAGATTCAAGAAGAGCGACTCACATGGTGTCGGCAGCGATGAAGACAGAGAGATGGAAAGACCAGGGGAACTTTGAAAAGGTTAGCAGCTATCCGATACTGTATCGCGCGTCGTAATGCGGCCACGAGGAGGGGCTGTTGGGATTACTGACAATGTTGTTGCTGAGGCTTCAACTGGAGAAGATATAATGCAAGAAATCATAAAGCTGCGCTTTGAGAGAGTGTGAGGTAGTCCGTGCGGTGCTCAACGAGCTCTAAAATTGTGCTGAGGTAAACAAACGAGAGCGGAGCTGAGTTGGCAAAGCCTTAGAGTAAGTCTTGTGTTACTTGAGCCGCCTACCACACAACGCTTTATCTCGCAACTTGAAAGCCCACTCCTTGCTCACTCTGTCGCCAAAGGTTCAGATTGAAGCGACAGCGACCAAGAGGTCGATCGTTCGTCCAAAGTCTCCCAGAAATCGTATGTCACGAAACTTTCAGTTCAACTCACAAGGGCTTTTACTGACCAGGCACAGATTCATCTCAAGCTCACCTCCTACCACCAGTCCGCTCCCGACGCTTCAAGACTAAGATTCACCAATCGGAAGCAATGGCGCGAACGAGAAAGAGAAAGGCTATCGAAGCTCTCCAGGACGAGCCACGACAGACAACGGAAACTCAAAGCTCCGAGGACACACTGAGTCCCGAGAACGAACAGCTGCGAGCGGAAATCAAGCTCTTGAAGGACACATTGACAGACCTTCGCAACTCCATCGAGACCAAGGACATGCTGATCAAAGAGCTCCAACAGTCGAGGGACGCGCTCGAAAAGCTGTTCAGCACGGTTGATATAGAAAATGAGCGATTGCGGGAGAGTCGATCCAAGGAAAAGACTCCTGAAGATACCAGATCTCGGAACGAACGGCTGCAAAGTCAAATGTTTGACGTGTTTCTACCCAAACACTAGAACCAAGCCCAAATGAGTCTGGCTGGAAATTCTCGAGTACAATGGATGGCTTTTATTAATGGTTTAATGAGCGAAAAGGTACATGTCAATAATGGAGGGAAACGCCGGTACCATGAGCCTGAAGTTCGATGATTGGGAGGAACAGAATGGCGGACTTTTAGAGTCTGTTGTCCAATCGAACGTTAATTGATTGCGTTCATACTCCAAACAAAGCCAATGCGATGCTCTCATGTTGTGCACATATGGCTGGACAAGTTCCAAGGCTCACGCAACGATAAACAAGCATGTATCAGTGATTTTGTGTTTTTACTGTGTGCCACGGATGGCTTCTATCTGTGAATGCCTTTTGCACATGAATGACCCGTTCATCTGGCTGCATATTCAACAAGCTTCTGGGCTACCGCAACATCTAATCCAACAGGGTGCAGTTCACGGTTTACCCAAGCCATTTTCCGTAGAGCACCTGGCGATCAACATGTGATCAAGGTAAACCTCAATGAAATATTAGCAAGGGTATTCGTGGGGAGGGGTAAACAAACCATTTGATCGAGAGCGACATGTGTCAGACGCCAACCCCAAGGACGAGGTACCCTCGAAGATGTCCAGTATGTGAAATATTCACTGTCGGTTACGACCAAGAGTAGTGTCAAGGATTTCTCGCTCTCTCTTCATGAGCCCTTCCACGATCAGATCTGACAGTTCGTCTGAGTCACGGGGAGCCACATTCTCAAGTTGGGCATGCATCACATAGCGGGAGAAGATGAGATCCATGGGAAGATGAATCAGACTCGCATCATCTGCCTCAGTTCCCTCATTTCCTTCACCGTATTGACGTTCCATAGCACCGATGGCCTTGCGGATGTTCTGAAGATCGAGCGTGGTCACGCTGTACACATCGAAGCCGCGCTCTGTCGTGACGTAAGGACCCTCTGCCTTTGGAGACTCTTGAACAACCTTGGCGAGCTGCAGCATCATGAAGATCAAGTGTCTCGGGTCTGTCAGGTAGGCCTTGATGGCATCGTTCTGTCCCTGAAGGAGAGGGTCGGTAGGGCTCATGTCACGAGTCTTGATGCCACATGGGGGGCTCTCGTTGGTGCAGTGGCTTGCGAAGACCTCGGAGATGGGAGTGGTCAAAGGTCCAGAGCATGACTGCATCAAGCCGCGGAGTTGCTTGAGTGGATTGACGTCCGGGATGGGGGGCATCTTCCAAGGGCGTCTATCATCAGTACGGCAGATGACAGCATACTGAAGGATCAGAGTGAGGTTGTTGGTGCCCTCCATCTCGAAAACTGGGTGCGTCATGAGGCGGCAGAGCTCAATAGAGAAGGTATGGCCCCAGATCTGTTCGTGGGTCTGAGCGCGAAGGCCACGAACGGGGGAAAAGATACAGATCGGGTTCTCAGCACACTTGCGCTTGCAAATCTTGAAGAGAAATGCGAAGTGGGCTGCTGTACTAAATTCGTACGTGATAGCTTCGGGGACAAGGCAGGATGGATAGGCCGAGGCGTCGGTGAGGTCGGCTTCAGAGGGATATCCCACCTTTCGCAGCCGAGCCTCCGGAGGGAGGTCGATGAGCAGTGCCATGAGCTCATCCATGAAGGGCTAGAGAGAGGAGGATGTTTAAAATGAGGATGGAGAGAAAGTGAGGAGTCTGAAGACAATACGCCCGAGAGACAAAATGAAGATCCAATAGAGAACGAAGACGATAGCGGAAATCAAGATCGAGGCCTTTTGACGAGGAATCGAGGACGAAGTAAAAACATGATGTGACGAATGGACGAGAAGTGACACCAGCTCTGGATGAGGCGCTAGGCAACCAGAATGGCAGACCCGTGGGCAAGCTGCAGTGGAAGTGGCATTCAACCGTAGATATTCCGGCCCACCCCCATCCCTCTATCACAAACAACTTCCATAATGTACCTCAAGGGAAGCAAAATGGTTTAGGACTATCATCCTAAGGGACGGAAATAGTTAGGTAATTTATCCCAAGGTATAGGAATGTTCATATAAGTTTAGTCTGTCTTTGTCGAGCTTTAGACAAGTTAATTTTAGCACCGTATCTTGAACTTCAGAAGTTACAAGATCCTGATACTAACAGCAAGCTATCATCCTAGGCAAGGCAAAGCTGCGGCTAATTACAATCAGTATACTTAACCTTTATAATTAATAATTAACAGTAAAGTTAATATTACATTTCTATTAGTAATTAAATAGAATTAAATTCTCT